AACTATCAACCATCTTAACCTTATTGACATTGACAGACAATACCCAACAACTCCAGAATATATATTCTTTTCTAGTCCTCATGGAAATTTGCAAGATTGATTATTTTGCCAGTTTCAAAAAATTTTAAATATTGAATTTCAGTTTGTTTTCTGATCACAGTAGAAATAAATGGGGTATTCTTTAATAAAACTGGTCATTAAATAAAAGCCCTGCAAATCATCAATAAACAGTATTTTAGTTATCTATTGCTATATTTTTAAAAATTCCAAAATTTAGTAGCTTTAAAAAAATAACCATTTGCCTGGAGTGGTGGTGCACACCTGTAATTCCAGTGGCTCAGGAGGCTGAGGTAGGAGGATCGCGAGTTCAAAGCCAGCCTCAGTAATGGCGAGGCACTAAGCAACTCAGTGACACACTGTCTCTAAATAAAATACAAAATAGGGCTAGGGATGTGGCTCAGTGGTCGAGAGCCTCTGAATTCAATCCCCACTACCAAACAAACAACCATTTTATTTATCATAATTTTGTAAGTCAAGACTTTAACCAAGGTTCTGCTCTAGTGTCACCTAGGCTCACTCATACAGCGAACGCCTGATTTAGACTACAAGGTCTGAAATGGCTTTTTATGTCCCGAACTAAGGTGCTGACTGTTGGCTTCATGTAGTCTCCCTTTCCATGTGGTCTTTCATATGTCAGGGGCTTTCTTCATATGGACTCTCCCTCCAGCAAGATAGCCTGGGCTTCTTTACAGTGTGGCACAGGGTACCAAAGAGAAGAAAAAATGAGTTTGTGCCTTTAAAGGATACAGTCAGTCCTTCCTCAAGTCTCAATCTTGGGTAGGATCTTGGTCCATGCATTTTGGGGGAATTTATAGTTGGATGACATTTTAATCTACATTACTATGTGAAATGTCTTTGTTTTTATGATTTCATTTTTGCTACATTGTTTCTTTTCCATACAATTAACTACAATATAGGATAACCTATTAATGATAATGTCTCTTCAATTGGTTGTGTGAAGCTTGCTCTATAGTAATTTATACAGAAAGGACTCATGGGAATAATATTCTCTAAATGACAATTTCCTGATTTAAAACATATAATTTGTAGCCAGTACAATAGTGCATGCCTATAATCCTAGCTACTCAGGAGGTTGAGGTAGGAGAATGGTAAGTTTGAGGAGAGCCTGGGCAACTTGGTGAGACTCTGTCTCAAGAAAAACAAAAACAAAACAAACATTAAATGAAACTGCAGATGTAGCTCAGTGGTAGAGCACTTCTCAGTTCAATCCTCAGTGCTGGGGGAGGGGGGAAGGTCATTCATCACCATACTAAGATACACCTTAGAGAAAAGTAATTGCAAGAACATTGTTCTCCTCCCTTGGGATATGTGTTTTTTTTTTTTTTCTAGATTGGAATCTAGAAAGACTTTTGTGTGCTTTGTGCTCTCATTATGGTTATGTGGCTCTTTAAATCTTGTTCATGCAATTGCATGTAATATCATAGATTTTTTTTTTTTTTTGGTGGTGCTGGGGATTGAACCCAGAGCCTTGTGCATAGGAGGCAAGTACTCTTCCAACTGAGCTATATCCCCAACCCCAGTGGATTTTTTTTTTCCTTTAGAGGGGAATCTCTTCTCAACACATTTTGTGCCAGATTGTACTTGAGAAAGGGAAGTGATATGTACAGCATGGAACGATATTAGTTTCTAATTTTCCCATTTTTTTACCTTTTTTAAAAGTTTATTTATTTTTAATTCTAATTTGTTATATATGACAGCAGAATGCATTACAATTCATATTACACATATGGAACACAATTTTTCATATCTCTGGTTGTACACAAAGTATAGTCACATCAGTTGTGCCTTTTTTTATTAAGAGAGAGAGAATTTTTTAATATTTATTTTTTAGTTCTCCGCGGACACAACATCTTTGTTTTTGTATGTGGTGCTGAGGATATAACCTGGGGACCCAGGTATGCCAGGCGAGTGTGCTACCGCTTGAGCCACATCCCCAGCCCCTAGTTGTGTCTTTATATGTGTACTTAGGGTAATGATGGTAATCTCATTCCACTGTCTTTTCTATCTACTATTTAGATGTGTTTGAGAACTTCAAGAAAAATCAGAAAAACTCTCCCCTATTTTCATGAGAGCATGAATTTTTAGCCATATAAAATCTGTCCTGATGGGTTTTGGTTATATTTTTATACCTCATGAAAAGGGAAGAAATTAAATTAATTAATTAAAACAAAAGATGGGATTTAAGATAAATCTCCCTAGTACAAGTAATTCTGGTTTTCCTATATCTCATTCAACATTTTCCTGAATGTACCCAGATACACTTAACATTTCTTCCCTGAGGGATAATTAACACTGTCACATACTTTGACAAGTTTATACATACATACACACACACACACACACACACACACACACACACCGTACCAAAAGCCATAATTAAATAATTGCACCTGGAAGTAGCAAGCATAAGGTTTCAAAGGTCTCATGCAATATTAACCCACAAATTCTAAATGTACTTATGATTGTGGAATCCCATTTTTAATTACAACATAAATTAACAAATCTAAATAATACAACTACCATAAAGCTAAAATTCTCATTTATGCAGCTATGAGTTAAAAGAAATATAATACCACAATCTATTGCATTTTCTGGCATGAAAGCAAAAACACAATACAAATTTAGGCTTTTCTATCAAAATTACAAGAACTAACCTTCTACCCAGAAGAATCCAAAGACACAGAAAAGCATCTGCATTATTTTACATATGAGGTATATGGAAAAAAGTCTCTCCCCAAAGTAGTAAGAAACAACTTCTGATTTCCTAAGAAACTTGTATTTTACATTTGTTTTTTTCCTGAATCACTTACGCAGCCACAAAGAAACTCAGATATTAAAGAACTAGAGAAGTTAAAAGATGTCCTTTTCAATAGCCAACAGTCACCAAAGACTGTGACAAAAGAAAATAGATATAAGTATTCCATGTTACTATGCACAAGCAAGCCCAAAGTTTTACTGCTTCACTAGTTAAATCACTAAATGTTAAGCATTATTTCATGAACTTAAATGAAATCTGGTATATAAAGAGAAAAAATACGCGAGAAGTGAAACTTACTTTCTATTTCACAGAAATATTATTATTATTTTAGATTATTTTACTCCATCTAAAATAATCCTGTGACCTTGTGGAAACAGTCCTGGGTTAAACACTTAAAGTACATTCCTTTACCAAATGTACCAGTACATTACTGCTCTGAAAGCATTCAATATGTCTACTATGTTCTCTAGATGTATATTTATACACTGGTTTAAGCCATTTGCAGAAAATCAACAGAAACCCTTAAAAACGTTTGACCTGACATGCAACTTTAAGACATGTGAGTTTTAAATTGACAGATCTTTACATCTTTCGTAATGGAAATTATCAGAATATACTCTGAAAGTTAAGTGATTCTTCCACAGAGCAAATTTAACTTGACCTCCTAAATGGTACAAATTTGACACACCATTTAGAAGGCTAAAAGAAATACTGATTTACTTCTTCTCTAAAGCAATACTGTTCAACGAAATTATAATGCAAGTTACACACGTAATTTTGAATTTTCTAATATCTATGCTAAAATGATAAAAAATACAATTTTTAAAACACTTACTAAACATGCCAAATATTATTTCAAGATGTAATAAATATCATTAAAATATTTATTCTTTTACAAATTGTACTAAGTTTTCAAAATCCAGTATGCATTTCACACTTTCAGCATATCATATTTTCAACTAACCACAACAACCTGGTCCATAGTCAGAATGTGGCTAGTGGCTACACTATTGAGCAGTATACTTTTTAAGTAATATTTTGAGATCTGACATACCACTCTGTTTATAATTAGTTCACATTCATGTCTCCTTTTTAAACTGAAATGGCTGCGACTACAAATATAAGCAAAACTGTTAATTCACTGGATAAATCAGGATCAGATCCCCCTTATCTGGGGATGTGGTTAACACACACAATAAGTAGCAAACGGATTATTCCTTATTATGTCTCAAGTAGACTTCAGAGATGGTGCTGATCAACATGAGCAAACACAATTTGTACCAAAAACACAGGTTAAACACCAAAACATTTTTATATCAAATCATAGCACTGCCTTAATTCTAGCATCCCTTCCCCTCTCATTCTTAAGCACATACTTCTATGCAATTTATTTATAATATTGCTCTCTAAATTTGATAAATTTTGTCAACCATACAGTCACCATTCAAAAATAAACAGAACACTATATAAGACACAAATGAAAAAAAAATCAACCAGCTACTTTTAATACAATTTGTCAACCAATCTTAAATTCTGAGTTCCACTGAATTTGATTCTTCTCACAATTCCAATTAATTTACTGCTAAGAATTTTCCCAAGTCATTAGGATATTTGCTTGAAATGTAAATAATTCCAACTATGTGTTTTCTAGAAAATAACAACTACAACCATAGCTTAGCACATAAAATTTGTCCTTTAGGCAAGTTACTGAATAAATCAAACAGAAACAACTATACTCCTGTTTAATGCTTTTACATTTTGTAACACCATATTCAACAATTTCTAAATTTGGAAAATCAGTTCAGATTGCACACAAGCACTAACTTGAAAACTTAAAACCTTACAGGTTTCTACAAAATACTTGTGAATAAATGTATTCCACAGAAAAACAACAGAAAAATCAACACCACTCAAATCTCAGCAAGAAGCACAAGATCAGTATATTCATAAGTACAGAATATATGATACATGCTAAAGAGTATTTTCTCCTAATTTAACTTAATTCACCTAGGCAATTTTTGTTTAAAGAACTTGCAAAGCTTTAAGGAAGCAAACATAGCTAGCTAGCCTCTTCTGCTGCACATACATACAAGGATAATACATTAATCTCCTGATATCGTTCCACAATTTAGAAATCAAAATAACAAAATTTGTTTCTTACCTGCAGTTAGGAGAGGATTAAGGGTTATTTCAGCTAGCTCCTTCTGAATTCTGTTAGTGAAATAGGAACAGACAAAAAGGATTTGAGACAGTCTACAGAATAACCAGAAAATCAGAATGCCCTCTACCATCATGCAGGTAAATGCAAGGCTGGTTTTGCCTTCAGTAATGCTAACATGGCTGCTTCCTCTTTGTTCTCAGAGGCATAATCCAAACTCCTTAACAGAAAATTTCAGCTTTTTTCTCATTTGCTACTGGAAATAGGTAAGTCATTTACACCTGATTTGAGAAAGTCCTCCACTACTACTCAACAAAAGGATATAAAATCTATTTTAAAACTCTTTTTACCAAAGAAATTCTCTTTTCAAGCTTATATGCAAACGAGACAAAACAGAAGGAGGAAAAGCACTAGAATATTTTTGACAATGACTTCAATACACTTTTAGTGTGCTAAAAATTAGAAAGCTATTGCAAGAGCACATTAATAGTTTTGTCAATATTTTATCTGTTTTAAAAAGAGTTTAAAATTTACAAATACATTTAACCAATGAAAAACTTCCAAGGACTATTTTAGCAATCTTACTTAACCATTTCTTTTCTCTGATCTTAGGTACAGCCCGTAAATGTAAATTTCATACTCTTGGAGGAAAGAGGGCCTTGAGGTAAGGGGAAAAAGAGCATTTCTCTGATTTTCTTGAAACTTAAAATGTTTTCAAAAGTTGTTTATTGTTCTCTCCACAAGATTACAACACACTGAGAAGAATTTTAAAGTATTTCAAAGACTGCTGCTATTCAATATAATATTCTCAAGTTCATTAATGTTTGATTAATGGCGAAATGACGGTGAAAATGTATAGAAAAATAAGAACATGAATAAAATGCAATAATTGATCAGTTTTTATATTTTCTTTTTCTTTTAGTTGTGATCAATGAAAAACAACAAAACATCAACATTAGGTAATGCTATAGGTACATTTTATGTTTGATACAAGAGTTCTACTCAATACAACCACTATCACTAATGGAGTCCCATTGATGGATTTTTTTTTGCCATCAATAGAAAATAAAAGTCAGCAGGAAACAAATAATCTTTCACTTACAACCAACAAAATGTTTTTTCCTGCTGTTGTTTTTCACTACTATGTCAAGAACATCCACGAGTTTTAAAGATGTGCAAAGTTTTAACAGCAAAGTGACTCCTGAGATTGTTAATGGCTACTTTTCAGTTTTATTTGTTCTCACAAGAACAAGGAGGGATAACTATAACTACAAAAAAATTATACCTATTATGAAGGATTTAAAGACTTGTTTGTAAAACTAAGCAAATTTAAAATCTGCTTTCAAAAAAAGCCAAGGCCTGACATTCAACATTTTTTAGCAAATATAAACTTTTTTGATCATTTCCTTTCATGAAAAGTGACACATTTCCTTTTATGAAGCTGCCACCACAGATGCCTGGACTGACACCCACGTGGACACGTGCTAATTTCACTCAAGAGTATAACTCACAAAAGGAAACATCCCCAATATACCATCTAATTCAGTTTCACAAATTTTCCTGGCCAACTCCTTAAACTGTCAGGATGAGAATTCAGTCTCTAGGACTCTTCCTGAAATTACCAAAGTACAGAATAAGTTTGCTTAGAAGCATAATTTTAGTGAGGACGTTTTCATGTCCCCTAAAGGATGACAATTCATTCAAGTACAAATAAAATTGGTCATGAAGTATTTCTGGAGTATTGTTCTTGATGTAAAAATAAAAGCATCCAATTGCTTGGAAGACAACCTGACAATGTTACCTTTTAGCACTAGTGGATAACTTAGCAGTGGTTTTGCTAGAGAGTTTGGTGCTCTTCTTCTGCTGGGTGGCAGAAGGTTCTTTCTTCATGATCTTCAGGCTCTGGAGCAGCAGGGTCTTCCTGGTCCGACTTTGAACTGCCACTGCTGGTGCTGGGGCTGTCATCATCGGACATTTGCTTATCACTGGCCATTTGATGAAGTTATCACTTGGAAAACTGTTTTAAAGAGAAAAGAGAAGAGGGAAGAAATGTTAATCTAAGAAATCAATCAACAGCTTTTCCTTATCTTAATATCATTCCCAAACTGTATCTCTATAAAAAGTCTTCAAAAGTGTTCACATTTATTGTATGAAAATATTACTGGGGATAGGATGAATCTTACAATGCCAGCTCTCAGGGATTGTCCGAAATCACCCACTCACATTTTTCTCCATTCCTTGGATAATCTATCAATTGTCTACTTTCTCACAAGGAATGAAAAAGATTTGCCGGGGAACTAAAGGCAAGGAGTATTAACAACATAACTGTAAATAACAATTTCATAAATAACATATATGAAATGTTTCACAAATAACATTTATGAAAAAATGTTAAAAAGTCACTGCATGTCTAAATATTCACAGACTGACATGGGTCAGAGCTACCAAATTCCCTTTCCCAGAGGAAAACATACCCTGTTAATCGCTCATATGCTTATTTAAGGTGAACATTCCTCTTCTATGCATGTAAAACCTTTAAAAACAACACTGGGAAATTTAAAACTCAACTAACAAGCTGCTCTATCCTTTTCCACGGCCAGCAGTGAAGATTCATCCAGCCGCCATCATAGGAAAAGCAGAATCCAACCTGCACTTTCGGCAAAGCTCCCCACATCACGAAAGTTCCTTGCTCAATCTTTACATCACGGGGGACATTTTATCCAAAATTAACGAAAAGAAGGGTAAAAGCCCAAGGAAAAACAACAAAGCCCCAAGAACTGCAACAAATGTCTGTGCCCTCATAGGCCAGCCGCTGCTGCTGCCAGCGACCACGCAGCTCCGCTGCCCTTTGTGGGGAGGGCCGCCCACGGACAGCTCGGCGCCCCAGCCGCCAAGCAATAGGAGCAGCCAAAAGGACCCTCAGCTCCCGGACACCGGGTGGTGCGGAGCCCAGCGTGAACGTAGCTGCCGCCGCCGCTGCTCTAACTGCCCCCCACACGGACCCCAGCCCCACCGCCTTACCCCGCGGCAGGAATGAGGCTGCCGCCGGCACCACCCCGGCTGAAGCCCACGCGGACACCATCCCCGCTGCCCTACTTCCTGGCGGGAACGAAGCTACCGCCGCCGCTAACACAGCCCTAGCTGCCCCCAAAGCCGACCTCACTCCCGGCAGGAACGAGGCCAAGGCAGGAACCAGGTCGCGGCAGGAACCAGGCCACGGCAGGAAACAGGCCACCGAAGTCGCCGCCGCTGCCACCCTGGATGCCACCACCACGCCGACGCCACCCCCCCCCCCCGCCGACCCCGCCCACCCCCTCCCGCCAACGCCGACCCCCCCCCCCGCCTTACCTCGGGGGAATAACGAAGCGCAGGCGGCCGGGAACGAGGCCGAGGCCGCCACCCAGGGTGCCACCCCCACTCCGACGCCAAGGCCCACCCACCCCGCCACCCCCCCCCCCCCGCCAACCCCCCCCACCGCGCCGCTGCCTTACCTCGGGGGAATAAGAACCGGCTGCGGCCGGGAACGAGGCCCAGGCCGCCACTCTGGCTGCCACCCCCACTCCGACGCCGACGCCCACCCACCCCGCCGACCCAGCCCCCGCCGACACCCCCTACCGATGCCGACACCGACCACCACCCCCCCAACCCGACCCCACCCCGCCGACCCACCCCCCGCCCCCCGCCGCTGCCTTACCTCGGGGGAATAAGGAAGCGGCCGGGGCCGGGAACGAGGCCGAGGCCGCCACCCTGGCTGCCACCCTGGCTGCCACCCCCACTCCGACGCCAACCCCGCCCCCCGCGGACCCCCCCCACCGATGCCGACACCGAACACCACCCCCCCAACCCGACCCACCCCCTCCGACCCCCCCCTACCCCGCCGACCCCCCGCCCTGCCTTACCTCAGGGGAATAAGGAAGCGGCTGAGGCCGAGAACGAGGCCGAGGCCGCCACCCTGGCTGCCACCCCCACTCCGACGCCGACCCCGCCCCCCGCGGACCCCCCCACCGATGCCGACAACGACACCAACCACCACTCCCCCAAACCGAACCCACCCCCTCCGACCCCCCCCCCAATGCTTACCTCGGGGGGAATAACGAAGCGGACGCGGCCGGGAACGAGGCCGAGGCCGCCACCCTGGCTGCCACCCCCACTCCGACGCCGACGCGGACGCCCACCCACCCCGCCGACCCCGCCCCCCGCCGACCCCCCCCATGCCGACACAGACACGGACCACCACCCCCCCAACCCGACCCCCCCGCCCGCCGACCCCCCCCTGCCTGCGGCCTTACCTCGGGGGAAAAACGAAGCGGCCGCGGCCGGGAACGAGGCCAAGGCACCCACCCTGGCTGCCACCCTGGCTGCCACCCCCACTCCGACGCCGACCCCGCCCCCCGCCGACCCCCCCACCGATGCCGACAACTACACTGAACAACACCCCCCCAACCCGAAACCCCCCCCCACCGACCCCCCCCCGCCGCTGCCTTCACTCGGGAGAATAATGAAGCCACCCTGGCTGCCACCCCCACTCCGACGCCGACCCCGCCCCCCGCCGACCCCCCCACCGATGCCGACACCGACATGCCACGCCGACCCCCCCCCCCGCCGACCCCCACAACCGATGCCGACACCTACACGGACCACCACCCCCCCAAACCGAACCCCGCCCTCCGCCGACCCCCCCCCCCCCCCCCCCGCTGCTTACCTCGGGGGAATAACGAAGCGGACGCGACCCGGAATGAGGCCGAGGCCGCCACCCTGGCTGCCACCCCCACTCCGACGCCGACGCCAACCCACCCCGCCGACAACCCCCAACGATGCAGACACCGACCCCCACCCCCCCAACCCGAACCCCAACCCCCGCCGACCCCCCCCACCGCCGCCCGCTGCCTTACCTCGGGGAAATGAAGCGGCCGCGGCCGAGAAAGAGAACGAGGCCGCCACCCTGCCTGCCACCCCCACTCCGACGCCGACGCCCACCCACCCCGCCGACCCCGCCCCCCGCCGACCCCCCCCACCGATGACGACACCGTACACCACACCCCAACCCGACCCCCCCTCCGCCGAACCCCCCCCGCCGCCCCCCCCCCCCCCCTGCCTTACCTCGGGGGAATAAGGAAGCGGCTGCGGCCGGGAACGAGGCCCAGGCTGCCACACTGGCTTCCACCCTGGCTGCCACCCCCACTCCGACGCCGACCCCGCCCCACGCGGACCCCCCCACCGATGCCGACACCGACACCGAACACCACCCCCCCAACCCGAACCCCCCCCCCCGCCGCCCCCCCCCCCCCCCGCCCTGCCTTACCTCAGGGGAATAAGGAAGCGGCTGCGACAGGGAACGAGGCCGAGGCCGCCACACTGGCTGCCACCCCCACTCCGAATAAGGAAGCGGCTGCGGCCGGGATCGAGGCCGAGGCCGCCACACTGCCTGCCACCCCCACTCCGACGCCGACGCCCACCCACCCCGCCGACCCCGCCCCCCGCCGACCCCCCCCACCGATGCCGACCCCGACCACCACCCCGCAAACCCGACTCCCCAAGCCCGCCGACCACCCCCACCCGACCCCCCGCCGCTGCCTTACCTCGGGGGAATAAGAAGCCGCTGCGGCCGGGAACGAGGCCCAGGCCGCCACTCTGGCTGCCACCCTGGCTGCCACCCCAACTCCGATGCCGACGCGGACGCCCACCCACCCCGCCGACCCCGCCCCCGCTGACCCCCCCCATGCCGACACAGACACGGACCACCACCCCCCAAACCCGAAACCCCCCTCGGTCGACCCCCCCCCCCCCCCCCGCCTTACCTCGGGGGAATAAGAAGCCGCTGCGGCCGGGAACGAGGCCCAGGCCGCCACTCTGGCTGCCACCCCCACTCCGACGCCGATGCGGACGCCCACCCACCCCGCCGACCCCGCCCCCGCCGACCCCCCAAGGATGCCGACACAGACATGGACCACAACCCCCCCCAACCCGACCCCCCCGCCCGCCGACCCCCCCCCTGCCGCGGCCTTACCTCTACTCTTGGTTGTGACTAAAATGCCAATTGGCTCCCTTCTTTATGTGGCCCTCTTCCTCATTTGTCTCTTCATTTTTTCTTTACTCTCTCTTATAAGGACACTTTTACTGAATCTAGGTTCCCCTAATCCTGTAGGTTCTCATTTTTGCTCCTTACCTGAATTGTAACTGCAAAAATGCTATTTCCAAATATGGTCTTTAGAGGTTCTGAGTAGATATTTCAGGGGACACTATTCAACTTGTAACACATTAATTCATGGAGCTATTTTGCTAAATATTGAAATGTGAAAAAATTACCAAATAATTGTCTTAAAACAGATTTCAAACTCTGACCAATGAACTGACTAAATAATTTGCATCAGGGAGCATGAGAAACACTTAAAACTTCAGCCAGTAACTCAAATTCCCTTGGAAATCTGAGTCTTCAACAGCATAGTGTGAGGTGATTCATTAACTTCCTAAAACTCTCCTTCACATCTTTGTTCCTGAGGCTGTAGATCAAGGGGTTCAGCATGGGGATGACCACTGTATAAAATACAGAACCTACTTTGACTGTGAGCCATGAGTTTTTGGAATTGGGTACACAATAAAGGAACAAGACAGTCCCGTGAAAAATGGTGATGGCAGTCAGATGGGAGGCACAGGTTGAGAAGGCTTTTTGGCGTCCACCGGTGGAGGGCATTTTCATGACAGTGACAAAGATGAAAATATAAGTACTGAGGATGATACAGAGGCTGCTCACCTCATCAAATATGGCAATAACAAAACAAATCATTTGGCTGACAGAAGGGTCTGAACAGGATACAGAAAAGATGGCAGAGTGCTCACAGACAAAATTGTTGATGATGTTAGACCCACAGAAGGATAATGCCAAGACAAAACAGGTGTCACAGAAGAAACTATACCCCATGTGTAGGTTCCAGCCACTAATGATGCACACAGATTCTGGGACATGATGACTGTATAGAGGAGAGGGTGACAAACTGCCACGAATCGGTCATAGGCCATCACTGCCAACATGAACGTTTCGGCTACTACAAATATACAAGCCCAGAAGAATTGTGTGATGCACCCTGCAAAGGAGATGGTTCTGTCTTCCACAATCAGGTTCTCCAGAAGTTTGGGGGTCACCGTAGTGGAGTAACAGAAATCAATAAAGGACAAGTGACTGAGTAAAAAGTACATAGGGGTGTGAAGTTTGGGACTGATCCTGATAGTCAGGATCATGCCCAGATTCTCCACAGCTGTGACTGTGTAGATGATCAGGAACACCAGGAACAGGGGCACCTGGAGGTCTGGGTATTCTGAGAAGCCTGAAATTCTGAGAAGCCTGAAATTCTACCAGGAGGATGAAGGTGACTTCAGAAGTCTGGTTTGCTTTAGTTAACAGCATGATTGTTGTTGGAAGAAAAAATATGAAATAATAATAAAAGTAATAATGATCAAATATTAATAGAATAATTACCCTATATCAGGCAATGTTCTAAAACATTAAAAATATTCACTTAGATCTCTAAAGGGAACAATGAATTGTAAACAAGTAGCTCCATAGATATGTGAGGGAAATGTGGCATATACAAAATTGTGGCACTTTTTTACATTTAGACAGTTTGTTAACTATGAGCTGGGTTGTGGAGTGGATCCTCAGTGGCATCAGTTAAGAGAATTTGTTTATGTTAGGAGAAAGAGAACACTCTTCTGCCGTGTTATAGAAAGCATGTTTCACAGTTCCTCCTTAAACTAAGTAGCACTAATGAAGCAATGAGAATACATTTAGCACTAAAATGTTTAAAGGAAGTACTGGGAGACGAAAAGCAGAGAGGAGTTGGTACTGCTGCAGGTGGGATGCCTAGACTGAGGTCATAAGTATTTATGAGTTGCCCCAGAAATCAATGAGACATAAAACATGTGGACATTAAAGAAAACATAGACTTGCATGCCTCCAAGCTTTCTGTTGATTCCTCCTTATGTCAAAACACTTGCCTCAGTGTGCTAGAATAAGGTAGCAACCTGTCAAAGAGAAGAACATTCTTTGGACCTGTTCTTTCACTATTTAAGGTCTGAGAGATCAGACCTTAAATATCAGTTCTCCTAGAAGATAACTAGGTACTATGGCCTTCAGTATAAGAAAGTTCCCTGCTTTAAAAGGTACAGGACTTCAATGATTTGTAAATTGCATAAAATAGCAAAAGACATATTGTCTTACATATAACATCCTCTTATTTCTACAAGATTTTGAAATGTTGAGAGTACTCCCCTGAAAACCTTGTTCTTATTTGTAATGGACTCCAGGAAATTCTTTTTCAGATTTCAAATATTATTTAATTATTAAGAATTAGCAAATACATCAGGCACCCACAATAAATTTTGGTTAATTTTCTAGGAATATGTTTCAGAAAACACAAGGATAAAGGGGACAGACAGGAGCAGGAGGAGGGGTGGAGGAGAGACAGAGAGGGAGGAGGGGGTGGGGGAGAAATAGAAAAATTTAGAAGTTTATTCTGACTTCTAGGTAGAAAAGAAAATGAAGGTCTTACTTATACCCCTATGACCTGGGGGATTTAGACCCTAGAGAAAGTTTACTAAATTACTTTGAACACAGAAATTAGACTAAGTGTCTTAGGTGGCATTGCACAAGAATTTAATTTCTTCTTAATCACTTGAGACAGTGCCTCATCAGGCCTACTCCATTAATTCATTTTACATCCTTTAACTATGGAAAATTTACACATTGACTTGTCAAACATGATAACTATAATAAAATATAAAAGAAAAGGTAAATAAATGGTAATGCAATGATTAATAATTAACCAAAAATTGTTAGTGATATGAGGTGAGGTAATCCTTATGCAATGCATACTTTTTTTTTCTTTTCACATTTTTATTGGTTCATTATAGTCATGCATAATGATGGGATTTGTTATTACATATTCACACATGCACATAATACACAATATAACGGTGTAATTTGGCCAATATCACTCCCCAGCACTTCCTGCCCACCTCCACCTCACATATCCTGGTCCCTTTCCTCTGCTTATCTCCCTTTGCTTTTCATGAGATCCCTTCTTCCCCATCTTTCTTTTCCTTTTTCCTATCTTCTATATATGAGAGAAACCATGTGACCCTGACCTTCTGAGTTTGACTTACTTCATTTAATATAATCATTCCTATTTCCATTGATTTTCCTGCAAACAATATAAATTTATTTATCTTTGTGGCTAAACAAAATTCCACTTTATTTATATACCATATATTCTTTATTTATTCATCCATTGATGGACACCTGGGCTGGTTCCACAGTTTGCCTACTGTGAATTTTGCTGCTACAAACTATATGCATGATACATGCATATAACATGCTTTAATTGTATCCACCTCTCCTGTAAGCCCCTCTCCTCTTTAGTAAAAGTTCCCCTTCTACTTTAATGTTATATTTTTGTTGTTGTTGCTATATTTTAGATTCCAAATATGATCACATTGGTTATACAGCCATGATTATACATACAGGCATACTAGTGTCTGGGATCCTGCAATCTTTACACGTGGAAAATAAGAATTCATACCCCATTTGAATCAAATGTATGATATGTTAAGATCATTGTAATGTTTTGAGCAACTAACAAAAATAAATAAATAAATAAATAAATAAATAAATAAATAAATAAATAAATAAAGATTTCACATATGAAAGAAAAAAATAATACAATACTTGTCTTTTTGAGTCTGGCTTATTTCACTTAACATGATCTCCAGTTCCATGCATTTTTCTTCAAATGACTTGGTCTTGTTCTTCTTTACGGTCAAATAGTACTCCATTGTGTGTATGTAACAAGTTTTCTTTACTCATTCTTTCATTAGTGGGAATATAGGCTGATTGCATAACTTGGCTATTGTGACTAGTCGGTATCATCTATATCAGCCTTTCAGATCTGAGGAAGGCACATCCATATTAGGACTCAGTGAAAACCCCAGGAGAGCCATCCCTAAGACACATTAATAAATTATGAGATGATTTGAGTTATAAAAAATTTTTGTTGCTCCATTTTAACTGTGTCTTTAGTGCTCCATGGAACTCCTTTTTCACTCCAGCAGTTCTTTCAGCACTTTTAGGATAAATCACTCTTCTAAATATCCTATCTTATCAATGAATAGCAGTCATTTTCTTATACTGATAAAACATTGGCTGATACACAGTCTGTCTTTAACAGAATTAACAGCAATGGGCACACCATTGTTTTTGAACAAATTATACTTCTTACATTCAATCTCTGTTAGGACAATTACATGGGAGGACAACTATGCCTCATCAGTCAAATTCTTCAAAGTATAAGAATGTGGTTATTATGAAGAAATTGTAAAAAGCACAGTGCCGGTTAAGGTTTACAAATGTTACTGAATATTTTTACATTGAACCATATATGAAATGTGCACAATTATGATTATATGCTTAAATATGTATATACATATATTATATAATTACATGCAGTGTATATGTAAGTAAATAAGTAATTTCTAACTATCTACATCAGTTTCTATGATAAAATGATAAGATTCATCTATTTTTTTCTGCTTTTGCCCATTTATTCTTGATAGGCCTACAGCAAAAGTTCTTCATGAAAC